GGGGGTCACTATTTTTGAGCACGGTTGAAGGGGTGGGTCATCGAAAGTTAATTGCAATCATATAAGGGTGGGCCATGTAAAAATATGCAGAAATTTTTAGGATCTATGTGTAGAATTTATACTAAACTAAATTTATATATTACTAAACATGATATTTGCTGTGTTGCCGGTGTAATGTACTCAGGCGGAATAAGATGCCTGTGTGATGTTACTCTGAGTGTGACGTTACTCTCAGTGGCGCCGTGGGACCCATTGGGAAACTTTGAAAATTTCCGACAACGTTGTCAATTTTTCAAAAATTTCCGACAACATTCACAATTTCCCGACGGGTCTCCATGATAGGAGGGGGGGGGGGGCATGGCCCCCCCTGGCCCCCCCGGCCACGGCGCCACTGGTTACTCTGAGTATGTTATACACTCAGAGTAACATCACACAAGCTAAACATGATGTTGAAACATACCATACAGTCATCTGGAAAGAGGAAACTAAGCAATCTCATTCAAAGTATCTATAATGTGGCATGATTTTATATTGAGGCATCTTCACTGTGCACAAATATTTTTGTAATTTTGCGTATTAAGTCTGCTGCATGTCCAGTTAAGCGCTCTGACACGTAAATCTTTTTAAATCTTTCTAAATTTTATATAAGTACTGACTACCTCAACAAATACGCTTTAAATCATACCCAAAACTAAATGCTGTGCTTTTATTCCGTTTTACTATCTCATGAGAACTTTTTAAGTGGATTTAAGTTAAAGGCTTTTCCGTGGATGTATATGAAAAACGCTAACTGGAAAGCTGACAATATTAATATTGCAACAGTATTTTTGAGTGATTCAACAAGATCACATCAATACATAATTGAATTGTTATTTGTTACTAGCTTCATTGTTCTAAAATTGATTGCCTTCACTATATCTTCACTGTGGAGAAGTTTGCATAAACATGAACAAAAAGTAGGGCGAAGACTTTGACCGACACAGGCTACAGGCTACTGTTTCCAGAACTTAAAATACTCTAATAAGCGAAGCAATATTGCAACAAAATGTACAGTTGCCTAAATCCCCACCCAATCTCTTTCATTCCTGAGACAACTGAGGAAATTATACTTTCTTTGGTGCATAATTTATCAGTTAGAGTTTAAACATTGTTATGTTTTTATGTCCAAGTTTCGAATACACTATAAAGTTATCTGTTGTTTTTATTTCATAGCATTCTGTGGACAGCGCAAAAACAACTTTGGATCATGGAATGAAGAATTTACAACGTACGTAAGTGTCGAGGATTAAGACTTGCTTATTGTAACAATACTTACGCCTGCACCAAATATGAATTTTGGCATGGGCGTACCGGAAGGAAAAAATTAGGGGGGCGGAAAGAAAATTGCCCGACTTTTCGGGATTCTGCCCGACTAGTACAAAAAAATTTTTTCCGGAAAAATTATTTTGGCGACCTCCCCCCCCCCGCTGCAACCCCCCCCGTCGCCAAAAAAATTTCGGTCAGTGTACCATTTTAGGGCTCAAAAAAATTTTCCGGACAACCAATATTTTTCGGAACATAACACAAATTTTCGAAAAATCACAAAATTTGCCAAAAACTTGACTTACAAAATTGACAGAATTTGTCCCATTTTTTTTTATTGCAAACCAAAATTGCCCGACTGTTGATCAAATATTGCCCGACTGCCCAAAAAACTGGGGGGGCTACCGCCCCCCCGCCTGGTACGCCTATGAATTTTGGTATGGGTAAGATTTGTGTCATTAAAAAATCTTATCTTGATCAATTTTTTCACTGTCAAAGTTGCCAGATAATATGATTCATTTGATCTATTTTACCAGTGGCAGTGAAAAACAAAGGCAAACCAATTTGTAATTCATATAATGATGTCATATCCGGCAACTTTGGCAGTGAAAAAATCGTTCAAAATTAGATTTTTTACTATAAAGATATATTCCATTTCTTTTCAGAATGATCCAAATATTACACAAACCAAAAATCATATTTGGGGTCAGTGCCACTTTAACAGCGGAAACGACAACATTTGTGATTGTTCCAATGGAGGCGTAAACAATTCCAGCATGTTAATATATGTTCAAGCCCGTTTTCCACTAAGCGAATTTTTCGCGCGAAGCGAAAACAATTTCGGCGTTGTTATTGCATGGTCAGCAACAAAATTTGCCGCGAAAAGGTTGAATCAGTTCCTACTTTTTTACTTGTCGCTTCATGCGAAGTATTTCGCCCTAGTGGAAAATGGGCTTATTAACTCACTAAAGACATCCACATAATCGCCTTGACGAGTAAAACTGCAAAGGGTCCATTTGATTAAACAGGTCACTTCATGTGAGCTGCAATGTGCCCCAATGTTCCCATTTTGTTCTATACTCTGTTTAACGCCAGACAAGTTTACTTTTCAAGCAGAGCCGTTCCTATACGCGATAATTGGGGGGGAGGTGCATATTCATATATTCGTGTTCTGCCCGGCAGTTTCTTTTGAAAGCGTTGTTTTACGGTATGTGAACATGAATGTATGAATACACCACCCCCCCCCCCCCTCTTTCAATTATCGCGCTCTTGAACGCATTAATGCGCAAGACTCTCCCCTTGACAAGTATTAAGGTCGTCTACCGTTAGAGTGAAATAATAAAATAGGGTGTACTTGGGCGCATTGCAGCTCAGTGGTTTAATATTAACCCATTAAGCCGCAATGTGCCCTAATGCACCCTACAGTATTCAACCATAAATTTAATGGTTTCAACAAATCAATTCTTCTTTAAACTTGGTCAAATTGGTACAAAATTTTATTCGAGTACAAAAGTATGTAAAATACTGCAACTACTTAATTGGGTCGCTAATATATACAATGCATAATTAACATACAACTGCAGTAACGAAGGCTCTGGCTATATGCATTTCAGGAAGTTCTTGCCAGCTATAGCGATCAAATTGAAAACATTCTACAGACTTTAAGTACTTTCTTCTTTCATTTCGGCCTCCTATGACAATAACAGTGTCTCTGACAACTGCAGCCACACATCCTCTCCTCTTATACTTTATGTCTGGTAACCTACGACTTTTCTGGGTCTTGATGTTGTATAATAAAACTTTGTTTAATGGTTGATTGTTACTGTCAACACCACCCACTATGATCACACTGTCATCACCCCACTTGACTGTGGCCATTTCAGACACGGGGTAGGGGAGGGCTGCTAATTCCTTACATTCATTCTTAGTAATATCATACAACAAAACACTTGCAAGGTTTGTATGAACAAGCAAAGCTACCCTACCTCCAAGAATCAGTATCTTGTCACCAAACATTGCAACACCATGATGATATCTTGCCTGTGGCATGGTAGTCAACAGTTTACTGGTATAATGTGGATCAAGGGAAATCTCAGTAATACTATCACAATATGCGTCTTTACTATCATCAGAACCTCCAATCACTATCAACCGTCCATTATAAACTACACTGCAGTGTCCAAACAATGCTTCAGGTAACTCAGCAAGAACGTTTTCCCAAGTGATGGACTGATTAACTTGAACAGCATTCAATGATAATTTTTCAATTGATTTGATTTCTGTTCCACTCTGACCCAAACCTCCCATGACAAAAATTTGATTGTTGTGAACAACTGAAGATGCTTTGTAACGACCTTCTTTCATTGGCTGTAGTGATGTCCAGGTTGCGTTTAACAGACTGAACATTTCCACTGAATTTAGATGTTTTTTCCCATTCCAGCCTCCAGCAATAAGGATCTTCTGCTCTCTGTCCATTCCACATTCTGCAACATCATTTTTCATTTCTTCAGCCTGAACTTCATGTGATGCTTGTTGTTTCATTCTCTCCAGTTGTTTTGTAATTTCATTTAAACTTCTCTTCATTTCCATATTGTCCGCTTCAAGCCGGCGATTGCATTCTTCCTGCTTGTTGAGTTGTCCTCGAAGTTGTTCTTGAACAGTTCAACTTTTGCGACCACATTTTCAAACTTTGTTTTGACGTTCTCCTGATTTCTGTCCACCTTTTTTTCATTTCTGTCCATCTTTTTCTCATGTCTGACCAACTGTTCCCCAACTCCTTTCAACTTTTCATTCATTGCTGCCAAATTAACTTTCACTGTATCCATATCTTGTCTGATTTCGTTGCAATTGTCGCACTTGACTCTGCGTAGTTCACACATAGCTGTTTCATGGTGTAGTAAATCTTGTTTATTTACCTCAAGTTGGCATCCTTCGTTAGAGCAGACTGCTGGGGCGAATCCACAGTCAGTGACATGCCTTTCGAGATCTCCTAATTCAACAAACTGTCCGCAACCACGATCGAAGAATTGACAGCGGATCTTTAATTCGGAAAGTAAGTTCGTTACGGTCCGAGGTGCTTGGCGCAGTGATTCGACAGTGAGTGGTTCCATACACGATGGACATGTTTGAAAGTTCATGAGATGTATGGTGATACAAGTTCGACAGAACAAATGCTCATTATGTCGACACGAAACTGGATCCTTCAAAACATTCAGACATATACTACAATGGAAAGTTTGGCTAACGGGATGTTGAAATAGTTCATCTTCATAACCAGTGTTGTATGACGCCATAGTTTCAGTTTAGATCAGTAGACAGTACTGTTGAATCAATATCTTGAGAAATATACATAAGGGTAAAGATGGTAGATGTCGTTTTGAACTGAAGACGAAACGCTATTATTTAAAACTTTTATATCATTGACCAAGACAGCACTGTGTGTAGCCGTTCTGCATCAACAAATACGAGTTTAAAGCAAGCATAAAAAGACATCAGCTATTCTGTGAATTACTTCCTTGATTAAAAATTCAATACCCTCAAAATGGCACTAATTCTCGCGAAACTTCTTAATATCTATTGACTATTTCTTTTCTGGTCTGTTCAGAAATTCCTTTGAATCAGCACTTTGTTTCGATATGCTTATGTAAACTCACTTGAATATATTTCATTTCGTCTTACCTTAGCTTTACTTCATTTAGGAACTACATTTTGTCGTGTAGTTTATTTACATCGCTGTGATGTTTAAAACACTGTGCTTGATTTGATCAAAAGAATGAACAGCAGTTTGAGAGCTCAATCAAAATTCTTTGAGATAAATTGTCTGCATTTAATAATAGTTTCAGTTTGAGTTGAATTCACCCGATAAATTCCTGAATATTCAATTGCATTGAAATTGCGCGGACATTGCACAAATCTTGTGACTAAAGTTCACGACCCCATACGGTTGAGAGTTGTTGTTGTTTCAAATATTTTAAATAAAGTCAAACCTGATGCAGGTCCAACATTTTCCACCATTAGTCAACATTACTAAACATGATGTTGAAACATACCATATAATCATCTGGAAACTCTGCAATCTCATAATGAGCATAATGACGAATGATTTTATACTGATGTGAGGTATCTTCACCGTGCACAAATTGTGCATGTTAAAAACGCTTATAACTGGGAAGCTGTGATTCAACAAGATGGCGCCGTTGAATTGTTGCTTCAACCAAAAATTGATTGCCTTCACTATATTTTCACCGCGGGGAGGTTTGCATAAACATGAACAAAAAGATAGAACTGTAAGACTTTGACCGACACAGGCGACTGTTCCCAGAACTTAAAATACTTTGTCTTTGATTAGAGAGGCAATTGCAACAAAATGTACAGTCGCCTAAATCCCCACCCAATCTCTTTCATTCTTGAGACAACTGAGGATATTATACTTTCCTGGGTGCGCAATTTATTAGGGTTTGAACATTGTTATGTTTTCACATCCAAGTTTTGAATACACTGTACTGAAAATTATCTGTTGTTTTTAATTCTTAGCATTCTGTGATCAACGCAAAAACAGCTTTGGATCATGGAATGAAGAACAACGTACGTAAGTGTCGAGGATTAAGACTTGCTTATTATAACAATACTTGAAGTGGCACCTACACCAAATATGAATTTTGGTATGAGTAAGATTTGTGTGATTCTTAGAAGAAATGTAGCATACTGTATCTTATGATAAAAAATTTCATTTTGATCAATTTTTTTACTCTCAAGGTTGCTGAATATAAAAAACAAAGGCAAAGCAATTTGTAATTCATCTAATGACATCATATCCGGAAACTTTGGCAGTGAAAAAGTCGTTCAAAATAAGGTTTTTTACTATAAAGATATATTCCATTTCTTCTCAGAAAGATCCAAATATTACACAAACCAAAAATTATATTTGGGGTCAGTGCCACTTTAACAGCGGAAACTACAACATTTGTGATTGCTGCAATAATCGTATTCGACTTCACATGTAAATGAGCGTATTCATAAGATTGATAAAACACGACAAATTTTCTTTAAAATCATTTATTTCAATGAGTTTGTGAAGTTTTGGCCGTCACCTTGTCGTCCTACATCATAAAGTCTCCCTGCAGTTCATTGTGTCAACTTTGTATCAAAATGACGCGTATTCATAAGATTTATCAATTTATCTTTGAAATCATTTATTTGAATGAGTTTGTGATGTTTTGGACGTCGCTTTGTCGTCCTACATCATAAAGTCTCCTTGCAGTTCATTGTGTCAACTTTGCATCAAAATGAAGCGTTCGTAAACGTCGAGATAAAATTGCAGTTGAATGATAACATGTAGCAGAGTCAGCCGAGACTGCAAGATTTAAAATATGCAGATCAAAGTATTCAACTCTTCAATCATCGTTGGAATAAGCAACACGTGGTTTCTGGAGACGCAGTGAATTTCGGCATGTCAACATGTGTTCAAGCACGTTTTCCACTGAGAGAATTTCTTCGCGCGAAGTAGTGATGGGCGATACCAGGATTTTTAATTCGATACCGATACCGATACTTTTAAGATCGGTATCGGCCGATACCGATACCTATTTCAATACCGGCAAAATGAACACAAAATTTCAATTTTCGATACCGGAAGTGAGTACTTAAATTGCTAGTATCGGCTACTTTCGATACCTGCCAGTCAGCGGGAAAACATTTTGCATTACTGTATGTAACCTAAATAAAGCTATAAGTAAACCAAAAGCCCTAAACGTAATAAATATTTTCTATACCTGACTTGGCGCACCCAATTTGGAATATTAAGAGTTATTTTGGTGGTTCATTAAATCTTATTCAACCAAGAAGTAAAATTAAACAAGTAGTTTAAAAAAGGGTGCAAGTATCGAACGATACCACGTCAGTAATCGATACCGATACCGCTGTTTGTGGTATCGCTGGTATCGAATACCGAGTACTCGGTATCGCCCATCACTAGCGCGAAGCGAAAAAAAATTCTGCGTCAGCAACAAAATTTGCCGCGAAAAAGTTTTTATCAGTTCCTACTTTTTTACTTGTCGCTTCATGCGAAGTATTTCGTCCAAGTAGAAAATGTGTTGAACCATTAAAATGCATTCCCATAATCCCCTTGGCGAGTAAAACTGCAAAGGGTTATTTGGTTAAACAACCCATAACATGTAAGGTGCAATGCCCCCCAATGTTCCTACTTTGTTCTATATTCTGTCTAACTCGAAACAAGTTTATTTTCTGAACATTGCTTCCTGGTTTTTCTGTTCGGGGTTTTAAAGTTTCCAGATTTTTGCATTCCCCCGTTCCGTTCCTCATTCCGTTTCCCGATTACCCTGTGTATTCAATTAAGGTTACTTCACACGATGAACGTGCGTTTTAGTCTATTGGACATTGCTCAACAAATTTTAGGTGTAACTTTACCAAATTTTCAGTGAACAAAGCCAGGAAAATGCTGATTTCGAAAATTTTCATTTGATGGGTGTTCTGTTTAAATATTTTCAGTATTGGCTGACTGAGTAAATATGTAGGTACCTTCATAAAAAAATCGAAATATGTTTATAGTTTACCTCACCGGTTGTCTAATTCAAATCTTCATAGGCATGGTAAAAAAAACGTGTGCGGAAAATTTCTCTTCTTTAGTGGTTTTTCTGATATGCCCTGATTCTTGGATTTGTGACTGATAATTCACAAAGTTGTCAAAGAAAACGTCATATCAGAAAAACCATTGAAGAAGAGAAATTTTCCGCACACGTTCAGTTTTTTTTACCGTACCTATGAAGATTCAAATCGATATATGTAGACAAACGTTGAGGTAAACTATAAATATATTTTGATTTTTTTATGGGATACTTATGTATTTCTTTAGTCAGCCAATACTGGACATGTTTAAACAGAACGCCCATCAAATGAAGATTTTCGAAATCAGCATTTTATTGGCTTTCTTCACTAAACATTTGGTAAAGATACACCTAAAATTTGTTGCGCTATGTTCAATAGACTAAAACGCACGTTCATCATGTGAAGCATTCCAAGTCCCAAGGGAATTCAGACCAATGCATGCGTTTAGCAGTAGCCAATGATATCAAAGCTTTTGCAAGCTAAACCAATCAGAACTCGTAAAAATATGACAATAGCAAACATTTCTGCTCGAGGCTGCATTTTGACTCGGAGTTTAGGGAGTACATTATAATTAGTTGAGTGCAAGAAAACTTCGCTTTCATGAAACGTTTTCGAAATAAAATCGGTATGCCTTGCAGAGGGAAAGGTCAGTATTAAATTTAACTATTTTTTAAACGTTTTTGAGTTGTTCTTGTTAAGTTATTGCTGCCTTTTGAAACACGTGTGTATACATATTCATTGTAATTAATATTATTGAATTCGATTCCCATTCAAGCGCTTCGTTTCGGCGCTTAGTCGCTTTATTTCCTTGGTGTTTCTCCCTCATTTTCTAGCAGCAATGTTCAGAAATACCCCATCTTTGATTTATGTAACTCATATTTAGTTTATCTGCAATTTCAGGGCGAAAATTTGAAGGGAAAGGAATTATTTTAAGTTGCCGACATGGTCGAACAGGCGGAGCACTTGGTAAGCATAATGTCCACTAAAGGCGTTTCCTTTTTTTTTCCGTTTTTAAGCTTCCCTTATACACCTAGAACGTCTTCTAGTAAAGCCTTGTAGCTTAGTGAGGCTCTCTGTCAAATTTAGTTAAACTTTTGTTGAAATTTGATCCGTACAGAGCTTTATCTGTGACAGAGCGAAATGCCGACACATTTTAGGAATGTTCGATTCGACATGCATTTCAAACATTTTAGCTTCTACAAACGTATCGTAGTATGTACAAATTGTACTCTGAGAGGGAAGGGTAAGCTTTTTTGAGGTTGTCTTGGTTGAATTTAATCCACTGAAATCGTTTGAAGAAGTTCAGAGATGAAATGTCCTTGTGGTTCATGCCCCAATAAATAATTCTATGCATACCTGCACATATTCTTTAAAATTAAAATAAATTGAATTGGACAACCACACCCTGTGTAAACGACATTAAAAATAACTTTCCACTGTTAAAAGGTATTAAAACTAAAAATTTATTATCCAACTTTTTTAGATTGCCTCAAGTTCGATTATTTTGACGCCAAGCAGTACAGAAAGACTTCTGCGCAGATTTGAAGAGACGCTCGCCTAGCAGTCGAAGCAAAACGAGAAAACGGGAAGGCAAAGGACAAATGTAGACCACCATCAGCTAACCCACAGCATTCATCATCACACTTTGTTTGTACCATGTTTGGAAGAGACAGTGAACCATGCAAGGCTGCATAGTTCAGTGACAGATCTAGACAGTGACGGAACTCTCGAAAGCAGATACACCCATCAGCAGATTTTGCTCAGTCAGCCTATTGTAAATGGGTGCCAAGACCTGTCGAGCAACAACACGACGCCGTACCATCCAGAGACCATAACCAATATGTCACACCATCGTTTCCAAGATTAAGGATGCCTACATATACCAACCAATGAAATAGGCGTGACAGATGTTGTATATTACAGAAGGTATATTTTCTCGTGATTCTCGTTGGTCGTATTCGAAAGTACGTGGGGCCACCCTGAGGACGCCCAAATGCACAAAACAAATTTAAATGTGGCTCTTTTATTATTCATGCTTAATTTATTCAAATTGTTCACATTTCTTGGTATTTGTGAAAAGCTCTTAACGAAATCGAAATGTTTGAAATTCGGAAGGTTCTGTCTGGGAGTTTGTTTATTTGAAAGATATTTGAAATGAAATTTTGAAATTTACATCACTTTGGTATTTGGTTTAAACGCTAGGTAAAATCATGCCAGATGAGTGGCCGACCATTCGTCGAGGTTTGGTGGTACTTCGGCTCGGACTTTCCCGACCTACAGTTGAGTTGCTCTGATCGATTGTCGTGATCAACTAGCACAGGTGCAAGGTCTGGCCAACCTTACATCGGTGCTTTTTGTTCGTGGCATGAGATTGGGGCAGCTCGCTTGTAGGCCTGGAAAGGTCAAGCGAAGTACCATCAAACTTTGATTTGTGACCGGCTTTTTGTCTGTATGGCTTTATCCAGTGTTTTCCCGTTACCATTTTGATGCAGACTTTGGGATTTTGGCTTGAATATCTTTAATATAAACATTCTTTGAGGTTTAATCTTTCAAGAATTTCATGGTTTTTGACTAGTTAATGTGTTGCTCGCAGATATATAATTGTACTAAAAAAATTTAACCAATAAAATTGAAAACTGACCAAAACGTCATTTGAGGTGTCGGATGGGAGGTCCAGTGGGAGTCGTAGCGAATATCAATGGATAAATATGGATTACTGTTTACTCTTGGAGATTGATACTGTGAGCATTAAATGGATTATTATGAACATTGATTACAACGAACACTTTTGGATTATTGTGAACATTTGTGGATAAAATGTACCTCGTGATCGACGGTTACCTACCAATGTACCTTGATAACGAAAGCTGCACGACGGCAACGAGATGACTGCCTCAAGGTTAGATGGTTTGATAACAAGCAGTAGTTAGCTTGTTATCAGCCAGTAGTGTTAGCCTGCTATCGGGCAGTAGTTAGCCTGTTAACAGGCAGGATTCATACCCAGGACTCTAATTTGCATGTGTTCGGTGACGTCTCTGGGATAAACCGGTTTAAAATTCCTGGCGGTCTGTCGTTAGTTGTACATTTGCACACAAAGTTGACTTTTTATTCAGATGTTTGCATGCTAATAAAAAATGAGGTACAATTTTGACCTCAGTTAATCAGAATTTCGACATCATCTGCAATCGAAAGTCAATCTTCAGAGGTTAACATTTGAGCTTCCGGTCACGTGGTTCTTTGCATGCACTCGGTTCGATTATTGGTGGGTTTCAGTAAGTGTTACAATCCAGGCGATGGTCCATATCAGAAATGTTGATTGACACTTCTGGAGCAATTTAATTGCTTCAAATACAAGACTACTACATAAAGTAAAAAGGAGTGAACATTATATTTTCGCTCTAGTAACTCGTAGTGAGATCCACTAGCTATTTGCGGTTTGTTCGTGCCAATGTTTTTCTCTTAGTGTAAATGTACTGCTTAGGTGTCTATGCATGGATGAACGCAGCGCGCAGCTAGTATCCAGAATATAGGCAGACAAGTCGAACTTTGCCAGACTTAAGAATTTTGTTTATATCGATATGTTATGTTCATAAATGTATAGAAATATCATGAAATGCGTTAGGCTTTGGCTTGGGGTTAATCTAACCCCATAACCTTAACCTGAACGCATTACATGATCTGTATATTTGTGTACGTAATATATGGGTGTAGGCAAAATTTTGTTGAAAAGCTGGCATAGTTTTTTCTTGGGTAGGATAACTAAACTGGGTGCAAATGGTATCCATAGCTTAGAGGGTGCAAATGGTACCCGTAAGAAGATTGGTGGACATCATGGTGGACAAGAATTTTTGAAAGATGTGGATTCTCTCCGGGTACTCCGATTCTACTTACAAAAAGATCAGCTTAGGACTGTAATGACATAATTATTGTAAAGATAAAATAGTCTAGGGCTTTTTTGCCGTGGAAAGGTGTATCTTTCATCGCCCGTAATGCATGTATATCGCTGGTTTTGAACGTTAGTTTTCTGCCCCGGGTTATATGAAAACAGTTCGCTAGCAGAGATTAGGTCCTCTCTCTGTCATGACGACTCAACGACTTCGTGGAAGACAATTAACATAAGGCATGCTAATCTTACCCCTGTTTGTGGAAGCTCATCAGGTGCGATCGGCACACTAGGTTAAGTTAAGTTAAGCTAGGGGCATGATCGAGACTCCACATTCGGGGGTTTCCCTTGCAGGTTTTGAAAGGTTGTATGCGCGCGCTAGTTAGGTAGGTTAGGCAGCTAGAGATAGGGCGCTTTCGCTGTTTCTGAATGTATACTATAAGGCATGTATACTATAGTTCATCATTATCATACTTTTGCGCCAGTAACTTTCTGTGTGAAGTATTTAACACAACAGGAAAATAGAATCTGTTTTTCTGCTGAAAAATACTTACAGAACCAATTCAAAGTGGAAAAAAGAAAATATTGCAAAAATGAGAAAAATAAAAAGGAAAACCGCGAAGTCACTTTGAATACAAGCAACAATAGTCCAAGAATACTAGTTGCAGAAAAAAACCCAACAAAAAAGAAACCATTTTCTGCTTAAAATATCTTGGATTAGGGGCTTAACGATAAGAAACGTAGTTCTCGCTCCAAGGTGGAGAATAGGCTCGTTTCTTTAGGTTGCTAATGCTTTGCGCGCGCGCTTTATAAATTGTAATATAAGTTTTTAGTTGAAAAGACCGCCAGGGAAAATAGGGTGTTTTTATGTGTTGCTTTGTTGACGGACAAGTTTTCAAAATAATGGTTTTCTTGTTTCCTTGCCGTATGTTGGCACTTTAACTTGTTCCCAAACATAGCCGCCGTGAAAACACTCTACAGATCAAGTTTATGTATGGTCGCAATAACAATATAGAATGTTTGCCATGTTGCATTCCGTGTTGTCTTGCATTGTTCATACATAAGCTTGGTCGAACCATGGATCATAAAAACACCATGGTCGAACGCAGCTAATTAGCATAAGCGGCGCGCGTGTGCTGCTGTAATGCGGAGTACAGTCATTGAGTGTACTCCATGTGCAAATAGTGAAGTGTGCTCTATATAGTCTTGCAACAAAGTTTCATGCGCAAAGTTTCATGCTTATTAAAATTCAACGCGCTAAGTTGCATGCTTGGTAAAATTAAGGGCATGAAAATCAGTGCATGCTATATTTTAATAGAGTGCGCGCGTTGCAATTTTCTTGCGCGCGATAGCAAAATGCGCCAAAAAACCTCAGTAAATATAGAAATGGACACGTCACCTCTTCAAAATGCATCCAAGTGTCCTAACAGCTTTTACAAACTATCGTAAAATATGTTGGGTCGTTGGATTCATTTGCCACGCACCTTGTCCTGAACATATTTGAAATATTTTCAGGTTTCAAGGTTAAGATAAATATACCCTTATGTGGAACAATCTGTTCATAAAAAGGGATATTTGTCTTGCGCAATTTGTAGACTAAATTTTCGGGTGGTCTGCAATTTTTTTTGAACATCTTATGAGATTTTTTAAAGTTTTTTTTTTGCAAGATTTTTACTTTTCTGGATTTTGGGGTAGGTATCAGGTATGGTATATTATTATAGTTAATTGGTTCTCCCCCGGGGTTTTCGGACATTCTTCGGTTTCCGGACTCATAATCACCAAGGTTTTTCACCAGATCTCGCCATGCACAGTAACCGTCTATGGCACTTTTGGTTTTCCTCGGGTGATTATGTATTTTTTTCGTTTGGCAAAATATCTAAAAATTCCAAAACAAAAAACAGTGTCCGTGTTCGGGACGAATTTAGTACTGTATAGAAAAAAAATGATGGATTAGTTAGCTGTTGTATATTTTCATGTTCGTTGTTAAGTGCATGTGTCTTTATATTCTGTGAATGGAGTTGCATTCTCAGAAATATACGCAGTAATTATAATTCCACATCGTTAGACCCCACTCTCTATCTTTTGATAAAAACGTGGTTTGCAAAGGGGGAGCCATCTACAAAACTCAACCATATGTTGTTTTTCTCAACAAACAGTATTTCGTATTAAGTAATTTACAATGGATCATTCTAGAAAACATGCATACCTCCACCACCAAGGAAATTAAATTAACCCCTCTTTGAATGTCATAGCAGAAATTCCCACCTTGGGGATATAGGGTTGACTTTTTCGGAACATACGACTCAATTTTGCTAACATACAAAGTTGCAGATAATAAATTAAAATTTTCTAACTAGTATAATACCAGACAATTAAATTTCCTGATCTCTATATAGTCACTGATCTAGTCTTGAAAATTGCGACGACACAGTACTTGTTCGTTTCCGGGTTGAATTCCCAGAGCACTGTAACCTAGTTACCAAAAAAGTAATGTTTGTACTTTCATCACATATTCTCGCAAAAGTTCCATTAGGAGGAACCGCTTATTATTTATGTGGGAGGGTGGACCAGTTGGATTTGGAGATGGGGGCAAGATGAATTTGAGGTGGCTTCATGAACCGGGTTAGTGGTCGGCTATAGATCACATTGACAACCTGACCTTTTTTATCAATGTTATTTCCCAGCCATATGTTCTAGCCCAATTCCCAGGTTCAACAATAATCTAAAAAGAATGTCCTTGACTAGCTGTTTTCATCACCCATGTTCGAACTGAATTTGTGTGCAAAGTCATGGGGAGAAAGGGGCGTGTAAATCCCTCCTAAGAGAATGAGTTAAGTACAATAAACAAAAGTTAAAGCGAGCGTAGGCGAAACGGTCTAGTGGTAAGGACAAAGTGTTGCAAGCGCATGAAGCCAGGTTCGATTCCTGGTTCTACTATTAGCATTTTAATGTCAGGCGTCGTTGTTAATTATTCCACCTGAAACGAGAATGAGTTAAGTAGAATAAAAAAGGAGTTCAAGCAAGTGTAGGCGAGATGGTCTAGTGGTAAGGGCAAAGTGTTGCACGTGCGTGAAGCAAAGTTCGATTCCTGGTTGTATCAAAATCATTTTAATGTCAGGCGTCGTTGTTAATTAATTCCACCTGAAACGAGAATGAGTTAAGTATAATAAAAAAGGAGTTCAAGCAAGTGTAGGCGGGATGGCCTAGTGGTAAGGGCAAAGTGTTGCACGTGCGTGAAGCAAGGTTCGATTCCTGGTTGTATCAAAATCATTTTAATGTCAGGCGTCGCTGTTAATTAATTCCACCCGAGACGAGAATGAGTTAACTACAATAAAAAAAGTTGAAGCAACTGTAGGCGAGACGGTCTAGTGGTAAGGAAAAAGTGTTGCAAGTGTATGAAGCCAGGTTCGATTCCTGGTTCTACCTATAGCATTTTAATGTTAGGCGTCGTTGCTAATTAATTCCACCTGAGACGAGAATGAGTTAAGTAGAATAAAACAGGAGTTCAAGCAAGTGTAGGCGAGATGGTCTAGCGGTAAGGGCACGTGCGTGAAGCCGGAGTCTCATAAGCACGCTCATGTATGCTTGTCTTAGCGTGCTTATGAGAATCACATAATTCAGTGTCTCATGAGCACGATCTTGACTTGCCTGATTAGATTTGAACACGTTAAAATAAGATTTATTTTATTTACCACGAAAAAATAAAAAATAAATGGTTTAGGTGTCCTGTGCCATGGCTTGGGTGCTCTGTGCAATTGGCACCCAAACCATTTATTATTTTAATTTTTCGAGGAAAATCTTATTCTAACGTGTTCCCCTTGCTCTAGCAAAAACTTGACACCGGTCTGAAAATTGCATTTTTGGAACCTAGGGCCTAGGACCTAGGCCCCTTGCAGCAATAAATAGAATTTTACACGGTCGGAAATTGTATTTTTGGAATCTACGATCACTAGCCTTTCTGTCGTTTCCTCATTCTTGTATATCTGGACAATCCGTGGACTTAAAAAGCAAGTTTACGCAGCTGTGTAACCGAAAAAGACGTGAAAGTTAATATTATGCCATTTCGAACCTCATGTTCTATTGAATTTCAAGGCTCCTGTAGACGACACTTGAATTTGGGCTGGTATGACAATTTTATTTTTGGAATCTATGATCAATAGCCTTTATGTCGATGCCTTACGTGTGCATCACTAGATTTGTGCGTGGAAGTAAAATGCAGGTTTTTCCAGCAGTGTAATCGAAAAAAACGTGAAAGTTAATATTATGCTGTTTCGAACTTTATCTTGTATTGAATTTCAAGGCTCCTGCATAGCAAAAGCTAGAATTTGGCACGGCCTGAAAATTCTATTTCTGGAATCTACGTTCAGTAGGCTTTCAGTCGATGCCTCATTCTTGCATCAAAAGACAATCCGTGGACATAAAAAGGAGGTTTTTTCAGCCGTATAATAAAAAAAGACGTGAAAGTTAATATTATGCGCTTTCGAATCTTATGTTCCATTGAATTCTAGGCACTTGTAGCAATAACTATAATTTGTCACGGTCGGAAAATTGTATTTTTGGAATCTACGATCACTAGGCTTTCTGTCGGTTCCTCATTCTTGTATATCTGGAGAATTCGTGGACTTAAAAAGCAAGTTTTTGCAGCTGTGTAAGCGAAAAAGACGTGAAAGTTAATATTATGCCGTTTCGAACCTTATGTTTTATTGAATTTCAAGGCCGCTGTAGCAGACACTTGAATTTGGGCTGGTATGACAATTTTATTTTTGGAATCTATGATCAATAGGCTTTCTGCCGATGCCTTAATTGTGCATCACTAGATTAGTGCGTGGCCGTAAAATGCAGGTTTTTCCAGATGTGTAATCGAAAAAAACGTGAAAGTTAATATTATGCTGTTTCGAACTTTATCTTGTATTGAAATTCAAGGCTCCTGTATAGCAAAAACTAGAATTTGGCACGGCCTGAAAATTGTACTTCTGCAATCAACATTCAAAAGGCCCGCTGTGGCTAAAAAGTATATTGAAATCCGGTACACTTTTTAGCCACAGGCAGTCCGTGGCTGAAAAATATACTAAAATCTATACTATCAGACCGCCGTGGCTAAAAAGTATACTAAAATATGATACACTTCTTAGCCACAGACCGCTGTAACTAAAAAGTATACTGAAATCCGGTACACTTTTTAGCCACATGCGGTCCGTGGCTGAAAAATATACTAAAACCTATACTACCAGACCGCCGTGGCTAAAAAGTATACTAAAATATGATACACTTCTTAGCCACCGACCGCTGTGGCTAAAAAGTATACTGAAGTCCGGTACACTTTTTAGCCACAGGCGGTCCGTGGCTGAAAAAATATACTAAAATCTAAACTACCAGACCGCCGTGGCTAAAAAGTATACTAAAATATGATACACTTCTTAGCCACCGACCGCTGTGGCTAAAAAGTATACTGAAATCTGGTACACTTTTTAGCCACAGGCGGTCCGTGGCTGAAAAAATATACTGAAATCTATACTATCAGACCGCCGTGGCTAAAAAGTATACTAAAATATGATACACTTCTTAGCCACAGACCGCTGTGGCTAAAAAGTATACTGAAATCTGGTACATTTTTAGCCACAGGCGGTCCGTAGCTGAAAAAATATACTGAAATCTATACTATCAGACCGCCGTGGCTAAAAAGTATACTGAAATATGATACATTTTTGGCCACAGACCGCTGTGGCTAAAAAGTATACTGAAATGTTGTACACTTTTTAGCCACAGGTGGTCCGTGGCTGACAAAATATACTGAAATGTATACTATCAGAACGCCGTGTCTAAAAAGTATACTGAAATCCGTTACACTTTTTAGCCACAGGCGGTCCGTGGCTGAAAAATATACTAAAATCTATACTATTAGACCGCCGTGGCTAAAAAGTATACTAAAATATGATACACTTCTTAGCCACAAACCGCTGTGGCCAAAAATTATACTGAAATCTGGTACACTTTTTAGCCACAGGCGGTCCGTGGCTGAAAAAATATACTGAAATCAAAACTATCAGACCGCCGTGGCTAAAAAGTATACTAAAATATGATACACTTCTTAGCCACAGACCGCTGTGGCTAAAAAGTATGCTGAAATCTGGTACACTTTTTAGCCACAGGCGGTCCGTGGCTGTAAAAATATACTGAAATCTATACTATCAGACCGCCGTGGAAAAAAAGTATACTAAAATATGATACACTTCTTAGCCACAGACCGCTGTGGCTAAAAAGTATACTGAAATCTGGTACACTTTTTAGCCACAGGCGGTCCCTGGTTGAAAAAATATACTGAAATCTATACTATCAGACCGCTGTGGCTAAAAAATATACTGAAATCTGGTACACTTTTTAGCCACAGGCGGTCCGTGGCTGAAAAATATACTAAAATCTTACTATCAGGCCGCCTTGGCTAAAAAGTATACTAAAATATGATACACTTCTTAGCCACAGACCGCTGTGGCTAAAAAGTATACTGAAATCTGGTACACTTTTTAGCCACAGGCGGTCCCTGGCTGAAAAAATATACTGAAATCTATACTATCAGACCGCCGTGGCTAAAAAGTATACTGAAATCCGG